TTCCTATTCTATTTTATTAAATACTTTTGCTGAACTAATTATATACTCTAGCCAACTAGCAAAGTGAACACATCAGTAGGGGCTCATGAGTAATGATTTTGAATGGATGTGGGACCACAGAGTATCTCAAACCCAGGACAGCCCTGTCCGGAGGACTTATGTGGGAGTTAGTGGGTATCCTTAGATGCTACACTCATAATAGAATGGAGTTCCATAAGGTACATTGGAATGGGATTGACAAAGGGGGATAACAATATGAAGGGATAGGGCTGAGGTGAACAGAAATGAAGACAGGGAGAATGGTAGCAGAGGAATGATAACCTAAACACGGTTCTTTTCTGAATCATGGGGAGAGAGGAGGAGAGAGTTTAATAGCTGTGGGATAGAACCTGATTGTCAAGTGCTTCCCACAAGTGCACCAGTCCCAGCTAGTAAGTTGATTTGATTTTCTACACCATCCTCTAATCTTGGATCTTCCAGCTGGTCAGGTGGCTTGGTAGTGAGGAACTAATATGGGTGACCAGATGTCAGGAGCCTTGCTATCTGAGTTCTCTCTGGTTATTTGTATTTATAAATAGCTTCAGCCAGAAGCTTTTATTGGTCTGGGTGTAATTATTGGAAATGCATTTTCAAAAAGGCAATTAAAGGAGAAATATCCCAAAAGAAGACATAAACCAAACACTGAAGTGTTTTGACAGAACACCTGTCTTGGGTTGGGGTTTGGAGCCAAAAAAAAAAAAAAGATAAAGAGAATTTGATAATGCAAATGAGTGCATTTATACCTGGAAATCTATCTGGGAAATGAATCAATGAGGCAAGACAGAAGAGGTTGAGGAACCCCAATCAATACCCTACCCCATTACTGCTAATGAAGATAAAAAAGCTCTGTAGGGATAGTGTGGTAATCGATATAGGGCTAACATAAGAATCAGCCCAAGACCAGCCTATAAAACATATTAGCAACATGAAAATGGACAAGTTATGTAACCTCTCAGTGGCCCAGGCAACTCTCTAAGGCCATAACTAGGACTGAATAAGAGACTGGGAAATTTAAAGAGTTAATAAGATTAGTACCTTCTAAGTTAGAAGGCACAGATGGAATCTGGTATCGGTGGGTGGGCTGGAGGCTCTCTGTAGCAGGGCAAGTTGGGGAAAGTTTTAGTTAAGCCTAGAAGTGGGGGGAAAGGCCTAGGCCTAGACCAGGAGCTCTATCCACCGTACCACCTAGCTGCCCCTTGATGCCAGATTGGAAGAAGTGAGATAAGGGTTGTTTCCCTGCTGGAAAACCATGCCTTCTGGGGACAGCAAACAATAAAGAGCTATTATAGGTTTTCCAGTGGATGACCTGATAAAAACAATATTTCAGGAATTAGAATCTGTCAGTTATTTCACAAATTGTTATGAAGCAGTTAGATCACAAATCAGAACAGTCCCTGCCTTTTCAGAGCATAAACACCACTTTCTTACCTCTAATCACATCTCTCTCTTTTCTCCAGGCACACAGCTAGTACCTTAGTTCAATCCCTCATTAACTCTCCCCTGCATAGACTATTGCAGGATCCTCCTAATCAGCATTCTTGCCTCACTACTGTCCCCACTCCAACCCATCCTTCACCCATCCAACCCATCCTCCATGTGGCCAGCAAAAGGATTTTTCTAAAGCACAGGTTTAAACGTCACCTCATTCCCTCCATTGATAAATTCCTGTTACCTCTCTGATCAAATATAAACTCCTCTGTTTGGCATTTAAAGCTCTTTACAACCAGATCCTACCCTACTTTTCCAGCCTCCTCACACAATACTTCCATAAACTCTATGACTTAGCCAAACTGGCTTTCTTGCTTTGATTACATGACACCCTATATTGATAATCCATCATCGTTCACTGTGCTTTCGTATTGGTTGATCTCCAAGTGATGGGCATTCTGAATCATGGAGTATGTGGACGGGAGTAAAGATAAGAAGACAAGCTTGGGGTCATGTTATGAAGGACTCTAAAAGCCAAAGAGAGGATGTTATATATGATCCTGAAGGTTTCAGGGAGTCATTGGACTTTACTGAATGGGTCTGTATGTGACACAGACTTGTCCTTTAGACAGCTAGGTGGTATAGTGGATACAGTGCTGGGCCTGGAGTCAGGAAGACCTGAGTTCAAATCCAGCCTCAGACACTTACTAGCAGTGTGACCCTGGGCAAGTCACAAACCCTGTTTGCCTTAGTTTCCTCATTTATAAAATGAGCTGCAGAGGGAAATGGCAAACCACTCCAGTATCTTTGCCAACAAAACCCCAAATACTCATGAAGAGTTGGACATGACTAAACAACAACAAAATTAGGGAGATCACTCTGAGAGTTGATTGGAGGATGGACTGCAGTGGGGAAAGAATTGAGGCAGAGATCACCCAGCAGTCTATTGCAATAGTACAGACTTTAGGTGATGAGGGCCTGGATCAGAGTGGTGGCAGGGTCAGAGGAGAGAAGGGGCCATAGAGAAGAGATGTTAGGAAGACAGAATTGACAGATCTAGGCAATAGATTGGATATGGGGGGATTGGATATGGGGGGGGTAGGGATGGCAAGAGAGAATGAGGAGTCAGGGATGACACCCAGGTTGTGAGGCTAGGTGATGGGAAGGATGACGGTGCCCTAGATGGTAACAGAGAAGCTAAGAGGAGGGAAGTGTTTAGGAGGGAAAGATGGGTTCACTTACCAGTTTGAGATGTCCCAAAGGCAGTTGGAGATGGTAGATTGGCAGTTAGGAGAAAGATCAAGGCTAGGTAAGTACATCTGAGAATCATCTGCTTGGGGATGATAATTCAATCCATGGAAGTTCAGGAGAATACCAATGACAATAGTAGAGAGGAAGACGAGCTGAGGAGATCCCCAAATGAATTAGTATAGAAGGAAAAGAGAAGAGGTTCCAGGACAGAGCCCTGTGGGATACCCAACATTAGTGGTTGCGACCCAAATAATATCCAGCAAAGGAGACTGTAATGTATTACCTCTTTACATCTATCCCTTGGAACCTCTGGTTTCCTTCCTTTGGCTCACAATATCTACCTACCTGACTGCAGCCATGTTTCACATTCCATCCTGCCCATCTTTTAGTCATATTTAGCATCTAGACCACAGAGAAATAACCTGGGGAATTTAGGCAATGAGGTGACTCAGGAGATAGAGTCTTTGACCTGGAGTCAGGAAGACTTTATGCATCCCCAAAGTTTAGCACAGTGTTCGGCATATATTAAACACTTAAAAAAATGCTTTTTTCTTTTTTTCATTCACCTTCTTCGGGAAGATTTTCCTGGTTCCGCACTCCCCCCCCCCCAATGCCTTTCTTGCAAGGATTTTATGTATTTGTTCTATCTACCTTGTTAGAATTCCTTGAAGTGAAGATGTCTTTGTATCTCCAGCGCCTAGCTCTGTGCCTGTTACATAATAGGAGATTAATAAATCCTTGTGAATACAGTGGAAAGGGGCTCCCAGCTTCAATTCCAGGTACTACTTCTTTTAACTGTGGAAAAATGACTTAATCCTTGAGAACCTCAGTCTCTTTAGCTGTACAATGAGGGATTTGGAATACATGACTTTTTAGGGTCCCTTCCAACTTTACGAACATAATACTTTTAGTACCAAATTTTTTGCTAACCAGGTGCTAGCTAGTTAATTTTCAAAACTAAGTTCCATTACAGAAATAGTACTCGCTGCTCTTAGTAATTTTGGCTGCTGGGGAAAGGGAAGAGAAAGAAAAACTGATGTTTAAGAAAATAATTTTTTTAATACAGGCTTACATGCAGGGTGTGCTGGTAAATGTTTAATAACTGCTTCTCCCTTACAAAAATGTGCTTAAGAGGCACTTTTAAGTTTATTGTTGTTTAGCTGAATCCAACTCTTTGAGACCTCATTTGGGGTTTGCTTGGCAGAGATACTGGAGTATATTTCTTTTCTTTCTCCAGGTCATTTTACAGAGGAGGAAACTGAGGCAAATAGGGTTAAGGGACTTGCCTAGGGACTGTATCATTAACATTTTTTCTCTATCACTTTCTTAAATCTACAAAACTAAAACTAAAACTTTCTTAAATCAACAAAACTAGCCCTAATTTGTAGCCTTTCTCAATTTCCAAGGTCTGAATACTTAAAGTGAAAATTTAACAACAAAAATGTACCTAAGACACGCTTTTAAGTTAAATCTGTATTATTAACATTTTCTCTATCACTTTAAGTCTAGATAATCAGCAGAACTATCCATGGAGCCCTGATTTCCAAGGTCTACATACTTATACTTAACAATAGGCTCTCCGGAGCATGTGTGAGCTAGCTCCAGCACCCTTGCTTGCATGTGACAACAAACATACGGGGAAAAAAACCGTTATCAGATCCCAGATAGATACGGGAAGAAGGGCCTCTCTGGGAGTCTAAATGAACTACATTTCCCAGAAATCCGATGGGCGCCCGGAGGGCTTACACTGGCTTACAGTGAGCCAATCTGTGAGACATCATACAAAAGACCAATCACAGGGAAATGGGGGCGGGCCCTTCCTCTTTCAGAGGTTGGCTTGCCATAGATATCCAATAGGACGGGGTTGTGGGGGGAGATACCCGAAGCTCCAGGCACGCAGCGCTCCAGCCTGAGCTCTTGAGCATGGAGTGGAGCGGCGGGAGGAGAGCCTAGAAGCGCTTTCTCCCTCCAGCACGTGGGTGCTGGAGCAGCCCGAGGCGGACCAACCCTAGGGCGGGTCCCCGCCCTCCTTCTCCCTGGCCGCTTTCCCCAGTTTCTCCGGTTATAGGACGTTTGTATCTCGGGCAGCCCGGGGCCTGGTAAGACGTGGCCGAGGCAGGCGAGGGGGCGGGGAGCTCTGCTTCTTTGGCACCGCAGGGCTTTTGAGAAGGGGGATTAAGCCCGCCTTTATGCTTCCTCTCTTCCAGACCCGCCCGTGGTTTGCTGGCGCCAGCATCTGCCCCGGGTCGGGGAGGGTCGTCGCTTCCCGCCCTCCCGCCCTTCTTCGCGTCTGTGCCCGGAGCCTCAGCAGAGCGCGCGTCATGACGCCCACCCTGGAAGAGCTGCAGCCCCCGGGTAATTGCGCGCGAGCCGGCGCCCGCTGCTGTTTGTTGGTGCCCGGAGCCCGTGTTGCGTCATCGCGGTGCTGGGGAACTCTCCCGGGCCGGGTAGAGCGGGCCGCTGCTCCTAGTACTTTTCCGATGACTATTTTTTTAGGGGGGTGGTGTTGTCTAGAGCCTCCTTTTCCTTTGCTCCATTTTTCTTTCTCACTTACCTTCTTGCGCAAACTCTGAAATTTCAGAAAAGTTGGTGGAAGAGAGAGAGCCTGTTCTTCGGGAACACTGAGATTTATTGATAGGGGCACGTGCCGTTCTTTATTCGAACCCAGAGGCAGAAGGAAGATCATTCTGGAATTGTTCCCAGGGAGAGGTACAGGGAGCCAGACCCCCACAGAGTCTGCTAGGTTGAGCAGTTTCTACTTAAGACAGGACACTGTATGAACCTAGGCAAGTCACTTAATCAACCTCAGTTTCCTCATCTGTAAAATGGAGATCATAATATTAATAGCCTTCACAGTTATATAATTCAGTGCTTGGCACATAGTAGGTGCTTAATAAATTTTTGAGTTGCATTGTTGTGAGGATAAAAATGAGATACTGTATATAAAGCGCTTTACAAACCTCAAAGTTTTATTCAGAATGTCCTAAAACTTACTAGTGAGTTTTAAACCTGTTGAAAACAGCCAGGAGACTTGTAATACCCTATATTCAGCCTCATTAAACTTAAGTCTTTGTTATTCTAATCAGGTTGAGCCAAATCTCATTTCCTCCGGGTTTAAATTTCTTCCTCACGTTCTCCAGTAGTCTATAGATTTCTGTTTGGGGAGATTAGCATTTGAAATAGGAGTATGTGGGTGGGGCATGAGATCGAGGTACTGAAGTTATGTAATGAGATTTTAAATGGTTCAAACTGTGGATATTGTACCTGCTTGGAAGGTACTGTGAGTTCTTGTTCATGATTTAAGACGCTACAGAGATCAGGAGAGCTGGAATAGTTTACCTGTCATATCTATGGATGAGGGAAGAATTTAGGACCAAACAAGATTAAAGCATTCCAAAATGGAAAATGGAAAATTTTGATTATATAAAATTAAGTTTTTGCACAAACAAAACCAATGCAATGGAAATCAGCAAAAAACTGGGAAAAATTCTACAGCAGCTATCTCTGATAAAGGTCTCATTTCTCAAATATATAGAGAACTAAGTCAAATTTATGAGAATACAAGTCATTCCCCAATTGATAAATGGTCAAAGGACATGAACAGGCAGCTTTTAAACAATGAAATCAAAGCTATCTATAGTCATGAAAAAATGCTCTAAGTCACTATTGATTAGAGGAATGCAAATTAGAAAACTCTGAGGTACCACCTCATACCTATCAAATTGACTAATGTGACCAGAAAGAGAAATGATAAATGTTGGAGAGGATGTGGGAAAATTGGGACACTAATGCAATCGAATTGTGAACTGATGCAACCATTCTGGAGAGCACTTTGAAACTATGGCTATAAAACTGCGCATACTCATTGATCTAGCAATACCACTATTAGATCTGCATCCCAAAGAGACTGGGAAAAAAAAAAGGGAAAAAAACCTATTTATATAAAAATATTTATAGCAGCTCTTTTTGTGGTGGCTAGGAATTGGAAATCAAAGGGATGCCCATCAATTGGGGAATGGCTAAACAAGCGGTGGTATATGATTGTAATATTGTGCTATAAATTATTGTGCTATAAAAAATGACAAGCCCTTAGCAAGGAAGGCTTTGTTTGCCTCAGTTTTCTTATCTGTAGAATGAGGATAATAACAGCACCTACCTTTTAGGGTTGTTGTAGGGATCAGATAAGATAATATTTGTAAAGCGCTTTGGTAGTGCCTGGCTCATACTTGTTCAGTTGCTTCTAACGCTATGTGACCCCATATACATAGCATGCTGGGCCCTTTTGCCCTCCACTGTCTCTCAACTTTGTCCAAGTTCATACTCTTTGTTTTCATAACACTATCTATCCATCTCTTCTTTTGCCTTCCCCTTTTCCTTTTGCCTCTTGTTTTTCCCAACATCTGGGTCTTTTCCAGTAAGTCCTATCTTCTTGTTACGTGGCCAAAATATCTAAGCTTCAGCTTCAGTATTTGACCTTCGAATGAATAGCCTGAATTCATTTCTTAAATATTGACTGATTTGATCTCTTTGCTGTCTAAAGGCATTGTTATCTCCAGCACCACACTTCAAAAACATTGATTCTCATACATTGGTACTGGATAAACCATGGCTTTGACCATACAGATCTTTTTTGGCACGGTGATATTTCTGCTTTTTAGTATGCTCTCCAGATATGCCATAGCTTCCCTTCCAAGGAACAAGAGTTTTCATTTTATGGTTGCAGTTGTCATGTACAGTGATCTTTGAGCTCAAGAATATAAACTGACACAGCTTTCGTTTTTTTCTCCCTCTATTTGCAAGGGGGTGATGGGGGACTGTTTTCCAACATCAAAGTTTCCTTGGTGTTAAGCTTCGAGCCAGCTTTTGTACTCTCCTCTTTTACCCTTATCCAAGAGGCTTATTAATTCTTCACTTTCTGCCATCAGAGTGGTATCATTTGCACATCTGAGATTGTAGCACATAGTAGGTGCTATATAGATATTCCCTTCTCCTTTCACTTTCCTCTGATGGAATATTGTGTAAAAAGTGTTGTTTAAGTGTCAGTTATTCCTATTAAAGAAAATGTAAACTTGAGAGATTTTTAACAATCCTTATGTTCCCAGCACAGACAGTGCTTAGTGGATTAATAAATGTTTATTGAATTGGATTAAAAGATGGAGTGAAAGAAGTTCATGACGATTAGTTAGTGGTCTGCCTTTCTAGAATTCAGACTCACGCATTTGGTGTCAGAAAAATCTGAGTTAGAATCCTGCCTCAGGATTAACCCCTTTAAGTCCCACTTTCCACATCGGTAAAATGGGGTTCATGTAGCACCTATCTCATAAGGTTGTTGTGAGAATCAAATGAAATAACACGTATGTAAAACACTTTGTAAACCTTAGAGTGCTACATAAATGCTATCTGTTCTTTTAAATAAATGGAGTTGGAGAGATGGTTTTTGAAACCAACGGAGCTGTCATTCAGATGTCTTTATTTATTTATTTTGCTATGTTGCTATAAAAAGGCCCTGCCTTGCCTGGGCCTAGCCAAGCTCAGAGACACTACTCTTCTTTCTGCTCTCATTCCATTATAACATGCCCTCTCAAGGTTTATCCAACTCCTGACTGAGTTAATTTCCAGTTCCTATCCTCTTTCTAGGTGACTAATGAACCTTCAGAGGAGACTCAGAAGGGTCTAATAGGCCAGAAGAGAACCAGACAGAGCAGTGTCACCGAAACCCAAGGAAGAGACAAATGGTCATAAGGAAGGGGGTTTTGGGGGACCGAGTGGTCAGTAGCTAGCCTTTATCTAGGGCTTTTAAGATTTGCAAAGTGCTTTACCATGTTATCAGTGTTGACCCTTGTAGCAACCAGGGAGGTAGGTGCCATTATTATCTCCATTCTCCTGTGGAGGAAACTTGAAGCAGAGAAATTTGATTAGCTCGCCCAGGGTCAAGTACCTAGTAAATGATTGAATCAGGATTTAAACTTAGGGCTTCCTGGCTCTAAGTCCAACAGTAGCCACTGTGCACCACCTTGCTGACATCCCCATGTGAGGAAGAGGACTGAGAACAGGTCATCAGATTTAGCAATAAAGAGGTCATTATTGATCTTAGCTCAGTTTTACTCTGGTGAGGGGAGGCAAGGGTTAGAATTCAGACCATAAGGGGTTGAGAATTCATTGGGAGGTAGGGAAATGGAGGCATTTTTTTTTTGGAGTCTCAGGATCCCAGATTTCTGGCAGTGAGGCCAGTGTCCCTCCTCACACTCAATCCTTCTCCTCCCTTATTTTACTTTACCGTCTAAATTGGGAGGCAGTAGGTGGCCCTATTGGATTAACAACCGAGGGCCTGGAGTCAGAAAGACCTGTTTGGCCTCCGATACTTTTACTAGCATGCCTCAGTTTCCTCAGCTGTAAAATGAAAATCGTAACAGCACCTGCCTGTTGTTAGGATCAAATGAGATAATATTTGTAAAGTGCTTAGCACAGTGCCAGGTACATAGTAGGCACTTAATGCCAATTAGATTTGGAAGGGGCCTTAGCAATCATTTGGTCTACCCTTCTGATCCTCACTTGACAAATGAGGAAAGTGAGGCCTCAAGGCCTTAAGTGATACATTCATAGTAACACAGCTGATTAGTGGCAGAGCCAGAAATAGAAACCTGGTTTCTAGAGTATTCTGCTGCAGGTAAGGATCAGCTTGACCTTCTCAAGGTCTGGGCATTTTTAGTTGACTAGGAAAATTAAAGAGCGTTGTAGGGAAAACAACACTTTTTTTTTTTTAATGGAAAAAATGCCCATGTGAGAATAGGAAAGGTCAAAAGGGAGTCAGATTAGGTACAAACTAGAAAATAGACGGGCCTTCCAGGAAAGCTGGCAGTGTTCTCCAAAGTCAGCAAGTAATCTGATGTCCTATACACACCACAGATTAGAAGACTAGTGAATCTTTGCTTATGGTGCAGAAGATTAAAAAGGACATTTGGAGTTGGAATAATAGTTGCATCTTCTTTCTGAAGAAGTTCTTTAGTTATGTTCTCACTCCCTACTTAAGCAGATTGATGTAAAGGCTTATGCACTGTGTGTTCCAGGCTTAATCAGTAAACTGTGTAGATAGTATGGACAGTACTGATAGAGGACAAAGTGCTGGATTTGGAGCCAGAGGACCTGGGTTTGAATTCTGGCTCTGTCACTTATTAGCTGTGTGATTTTGGGTAATTCCCTTAACCCTTCTGGGCCTCAGTTTCATGATAGGTAACATTTACATAGCACCTACAGTGTTGTGCCAGGTTCCTTGCTATTATCTCATTTTATCCTCACAGTAATCTTGGGCTTCCTTCTCTCTGTCTGTCTGTCTGTCTGTCTCTGGGTGTGTCTCT